ATGTATACGCAATAGCCTTCCTAGTTATGTAAAAAGAGGTTTCTACTTTATCTTTGTGATAAATATAGTAAATAAGACATTTCCGCTTCGTGGCAGTTTGCATTAAGTTTACACGTTGTGCCTTCGTTATCGCAAGGTGACAGTAATAATGCTGGAATGTGGAATTTTCTGTAATTTACTTATACGCGGTAAAATGTTGAATTTAACCGCGTCACTCTGCCAACTTAATACTCTGTACACATGTAAACTGTCGTGTACTCATAATACTATTTGTTATAAAAACAACAAAAACCTAATACATAGCTTACTGTACACTTAAAACAATCCGAGGAAAAATGTTAATCGAATTACGTTTTACTCTACTAAATCTCTCGATTAAGGAATTGGCATATGGAAAAATTACATATTCCCAAAACATATCTTCGTAACTGCCAGCTAATAAGCGATATATGTTATCTTTCTAAATACGTAAGGTTATATCTTTCATGCAGACAGTGTTACTGTTCTCTGCTGACCCCACATCTGCTGGACCATTGTTTATAATCCTACATATCGTAGTGAAAACAATGCCTCATTGAGAATGCTTTCGCGATAACATATATTTATGTCGTCAATGGGCCTTATTGTATATATTTCAATTGGTAAAGCTTTCGCTATATTATATTCGAAATATAGAAATACATGAATAAATGGCTTATTGGAAATAATTATGAATATCACATTTGAAGATTACAGATAAAAAATCCGTCGAAAGACAAAGGATATTTGTAGAAGTTCAATAGAACATAACAGTTTGCATTTTTGTCGTATAATAATTATGAGGAAATAGTTCGCATCTGTATAAATAAAAACAATGTAATTCGGGATCAACGCGCGACCGACGCCTTATAAAGCATGATTAAATAAGACATCCAAATACGATTTTAAAGCTGTTCAGACCTTGTATTTTATAGTTGAAGAGGCGAGAGGAGCAGGTGCACTGTACGTAGTTCTTACACCTTATTTGTGCGGGGTGAAGGAACTCGCCACCGGCGTTGGTCCTCCTGTATATTTATGTTACTAGTGTTGATGTATGTGGGTACGCCAGATTGATTTCTTCTATAATATATGTCTTAATTATGTTATGGTCAGAAAATGTCTGTAACATATGTTGCCTCTTAAATTACTTTTGTGTCGGACAAAGCAATCGCTAACTTTACTAAAAGAGACATATAGATTTTATCTAAACTTCTATACTAATATAATAAAGCGTAAACACACACTACTTTGTGACGTTGGATGTCAGCAATCACAGCATTTTTTTAAATAATTCTTTCTTTATTAATAAGCCCTACACTTACGGTACGCTTAAGGCTATATGTTTTCACGCTGTTAATCTAAGGGGGTAAATAAATTGGAAAAAAACCTTAATGTGGGAAAGGGACCATAAACTACAATCTGCCAATTAAGGAAGCAAGGTTTCCATGGTATCGGTAATTGTTATCAAATGTCAAAGGCTTTCGGTGTCATTTGTGCATTTGAACAGCCAGTGTAGATTAAAATTTAAAATATTGAGCTGTGGCAAGCTTGTCTGTTTATTTTGGAATGTTTTTTTTATATGTAATTAAGTCCGTCTTTAATTACCATCGCAGTGTTATAAATTAACATTTCTGTATAAAGATATGTGATCTAAAATTCTACATGATTAAAATATTCTCAGTACATTCTATTGAAACTGAGTTACAAGTATGCTTTCATCGCGAGTGGAGTGTACTCTTGAGACACAGGTGTGAACCGCGCCTTACAAATGGGCACAGCCTATGATTGTGCACGTCGCGGTTAGATGTGTACCTATGTATTTAGCATTTATTGTACGTCTGTGTGTAATTTCACGGCAACATGTCTGTTATTATGTACAAAAATATTTTCCCCTATACAGCGATGTCACGGAAATTCATACTTCTATACTTATACTTACTAATATCATAAAGCGGAAACCCACAATACTTTGTGGCGTAGGATATCAGCAATCATCATATTTTTGAATAATTCTTTATTTAATAAAAAGCCCTACACTTACGACACGCTTTAGGCTATATATTTTCACTCTAACATAGGGGTAAATAAATTGGAAAAACCTTCATGTGGGAAAGGGACCATAATTTACAATCTGCCAACATCGAGATTGCCGTGGTACGGTAATTGGTACTCAATTTTAAAGGTCTTTATTGTCATTTTAGCATTTAAATTTTGACATTTGTCATTGAAACACACGAAAGATGAATTCGCACGGGAACAGCTAGTGTAAAATAGAGATGAACGAAAATGATTTTTAACTCTTCTTGGAAAATTAATGAGTAAAATGTGCATAAATCTTGAATATCACACTATCTACAGTTTTATGCTGCTTCGTAAATGAAATATATCATTAAAAGTCAACGAAATTACTTGAAATGTAACATATAAGGCGAGTATCGGACGCCCCATGCCCCAGTCGCTGACTTGTTTTCTGCTATGTGTAACACTGCACGTCATAAAAATACTTTCAGACTTTCCATCATAATACTCATGCTATACAGAATTTTATCGTATGTTTCTTATTATCGAAGCATATTTACCTTTTCATAAATTAACCAGCGATGCCGTGCGTTTGTGCTAAATTAGGTTGATTTTTTTGTCTTTCTATGTAACAACGGTATTTTTTTCACAAAAGCAAATACAGAGTAGTATGACGCACGTGAGCAATTGGTCGTCAGTTGTATCTAGGTCGATTGATCCATGTTTGCGAAGCATTTGTGATTAGACCGAGGTCCTTCGTGACCGGTTAATGTGGTCAGTTATAGTGATTTTACAGGCCTTAATTGATAGGTAGAGTAACGGTAAAACACTATGTTAAAATTGGGCATAGACAAAAAAAGGAATAGAATGAAACCTCATTCGTAAAAATCGGTTCTGTCGTTTAATGTGAAGGAATCCACAATAGAATTTTTGAATTTTGAATCCTATGGAAGCTATATTTTATCAACAAAATCGGTGTTAGCTATCTAAAAGTCTAGTTTTCTGCATTTAGAACAAAATTAATATCTTTGTCTATACTAATATTAAAAAGATAATTGTTTTTGTATTTTTGTATGTATTCGATTCACGCAAAAACTACTAGGCCGGTTTTAAAAATTCTTTCGCCATTTGAAAAGTAATTTATCTGTGAGTGACATAGGCTATATTTTTATTTTCACGCGGGCGAAGTCGTGAGCAACAGCTAGTAAGTTATAAAATGATTTATTTGGCAATTATTTATTAATCGCCATATGTCAATAAAATAATGTATCAAAACAGAATGGCAAATAACTGTACAAGGGGCTGGCTGCTCACTGATAAGGACAAAGTGCTTTTGAATTAGTTATAAGTTTATGATTACTTGTCAGAAAGGTGACCTAATAAAGATTATTTCTACCTATAGCTGTATTAGATTGTCTAGATATAAATTATATTTTTATGCTACATACGTTTTGGTACCGCACTTTGAAAGGCACATTAATTTCCCTTTCTATGCGTCTCCTCCAGCGTCAAATACTTCTCATTTTTTTCTTATAAGAAAAATAGTGGGATGAAAAAGTGACTCCGGTCCGGTCTTTCGGATAGAAATAAAAATTGAAAACAAACTTAAATAATTAACTATTAGCTTTTCTCCGAGACTCGAATTAAAAAAAAAACAAAAGTAAGTAGCCTATGTGTTCTTCCAGGCTATACTCTACAACTAAGCCAAATTTTATCGAGATCCGTTCAACTGTTTAGGCTACAAACTCTAACAAACATCCATCTAAACTTTCGCATTAATAATATTAGTTAGATTTCTATCCTTATTATGCTAGTATGAACTTTGTAAATTGTAATCCAATGGTAGTACCGTGATAGGTTACCAAGTGAGAACACAAGCGTGCTCTGTGCCTGCATTAGCGCTAAGTGAACGCGGCGCCGGCTTCCGCGCGACCTATCGACTATGTGCTATAGAAAGCTCTTGTACCACCGATAAAATGCACTCTGGCAATTATTTGTGAGAAAAAAAAAGATAAGAAAGTCGCGTTGAGAATTAATCATACTTAGTCGTTGTGTGGTAAGACTGGTAATCATCACGTATAGGTGGATATCTATATTAATATTAAAAAGATATTTTTGTTTGCATAGAAAAAACTCAAAACTACTGGACCAATTGAAAAAAAATATTCACTATTAGAAATGCAATTTATCTGTGCGTAACATAGGCTACTTTTTAATCTCACGAGGACGAGATTGCGACAAAAACTAGTCATAAATAAAGATCATAATAACGTCTATATTGTTAAACTGACAACTTTATCATTTTGTTTTTTACTTTCAAAGATAGTATTGAATTTTGTTTTGTATGTCAAAAGGTATCCACGAATGACTATAATACATGGATATCATGCAATGGCTATCCTGTAATAGTGAGTACAGTTTAAGGTATTACGACATGGAGCGCTTCAAATTGGTTATTTACTGAGCAATCGTAAGACGGATCTCACGTGTAAACATATTGAGAGCAAACGGCTGCAGCGCTGGATATAGGAGCAAAGTTGCAGATGTACAGTACATAAACACAGAAAACAGGAACCGCATATGTAAATTTATAAATGAGTTATATTAATTGTAAATAGACGTCCGAGTTGGTTTTTATATACGAGGCCTTGCATGTAATTATGAATATGCATTCGTATGAATTTAATGACGTTTTTTTACTTGCACTATGAAGGCAAATTAACTATTGCTTAATTTGAATTCGGTTTTATATTCATTTCCAGATATAACATTCGAACACAAAGGAATACATGTTAGTTAGTTATGTGGAAACTGTTCTCGCCCTATGTATTCTAATAATATTGCTTTGTAAATTGCTCGTAATTTATTAAATATTTTTATATTAACCATTGTCTACACCTCTGGGGTACCGACGTGAATTGTTGTTGATTTGCTTATTGACCGTATCTAATTGTATATTGCAGAGTGACTCCGTGAGTTATTTCTTCAGCGACCTGGAGCGCATCGCGCGGCCGGACTACGTGCCTTCAC